AGTAAGATGGCGGCGGTGCACTGCAGTATTCATCAGGAGTCGGGAAACTGGGAAGCCAACAGGATATTTGACAGTCATTGCTGCCTCTCGGGCTCTTTTTTTATATTCGTCGTAGGGTTTGTTGTGGCAACAGTGATACTGGAAACGTAATGCATTCTTTTAACAATGTCTTTACAATGGACGTGGTGTCATATAATCGCTGCTCATCCATTTTTTTCAAGCGTCTTTGTCAAGAATAGGCGGACTCTTTGTGAATACACGCTTAAAATACCCTTTTAAACTTAACTTTTTGTTAATGTTACAGAATTGTAAAATATCAAATTAAGTCTTGTCGTTATTGTCAGTAGTGCTTTTCTTTTTCAATTTTTGAAACAGTAATGCTGTAGTTCCCTATTTTCAGTTCAGGCTTCAGGAAATTACCTAAAACAAGGGAATTTGCACATAAGTTGTTGAGTGACGTTAACACTTAAAGCTATGCTAGTAATGTGAGTTTTGTTAAGGTGGACATTTTTTACAGAGTGACCTTGTTGTGAGAGAAATGACACATCTCTAACCACCAGTAAGACACCAGTAGCCATGTGGCTACTGGTGTCTTACATGGCATGCAAGACATGTAAGCAATTGTGGTTGAGGGGCTGCTGCCCTTCAGTGTTGTCTGTGGGCTTTTATACATGACAAAGGTGACAATAGAGCAATACTGCCAGACAGTAGCTATTATACTCCATTTAGATATCATGTTTTTGCTGTCTTGGTCATGTGAGATGAGCGTTCATATTTTTTTCTTTCTCCAGGTGAAATGTGGCAGCTGACCTCTATTGTTTCCTTTGTGTAGCCTATAATCATTGTACATGAAATGAATAGTTTGGGCTGCACATCAAGCAAATCAGCTTTGTTCATAATTCATTGCTTGCAATGCTCAAGACAGTCTCCTCTGATTCATGTATTTACATTGTAAACCTCAAAAGCAGAGGTGATGAAAGGAGATAGAAGCTGTTTAAATTCTGAGGAATTATAAAGGCAAGATTAAATCAGACATGAAATGGGATGTTGCAAGTTTCTCATCTTGTTAAGACTTGTTTTACCTTCATTATGGTCCTGTACAAACACATACACACATATTAGGAAGCTGCTTTTCCTGACTGGTCTGCTCTGTGTACACAGGCCACAGTGTAGAGCATGGGAGTTGGATGCCAACATTTGTGTGTTTGTAAATCCTTGGGAAGTGGCTCATGCATGGGTGCAGGCAGTCTGTCTGTGTGCATACTGCAGTCTTTCAGCCTGGGGTGGACCACCCCTCTCCCCTTATTAGTAAGCCTTAATGCCATTATGCCTGTTGGCAATGCCAGTGTTTCTCTCCCCAGCACCTCCTCTGCTGCTAACATCGCACTTTCAGTTCTTTGAAGGAGAAATCCACCTGACACTAATGTGTCTCCTCTTACTTTTCCTGCCTCGCTGCTACTTTAGTAATTTCCGCAGAATGCTTTTTGACAACCTTCAAAAAACACTTTGAACTAAAATCAGAAATTCCTGCTTGTAGGTAAAAAGCAGCAAGCCTGGTACGAGCCTTTTTATTTAAACTGTCCTATGTCTGTGTCGTATTGAGGTCAGCTGAGGCTAATGTCAGGGAATGATTCAGTTTCTTTGTGGAGTTTTTCTCAATGTTGACTATTGAACTGACCTTGTAACACAGAAACCCTAGCTTTCATTCTGACAACAATAAACTCTCCTTCCCTTACAGTGTTTTCTCATGTACTTGTATGGCAGGACTGGATGTCCTTTTTCATAATGAGACATGAATGCCATTGTTTCCAGTACTTCCTGCTTTATTGTCTCCCACTGATTTTCTTGTTTTTAATCCTTTATGTCCAACCAGTAGTGCAAAGAGCTGGCTGTAAAAATTCCTTGTTAAAACAGAGCACATTGTTCATATTGGCTGTATTAACATTAACAACAAAACCACAGCACTCCCCAAATAATGTTCCCCATCCATCCCCCTCTCTCTGTCCTGAATAAAAGAATTCCTGATTTCTGAATTATTGATTGCTGATTTAACAGGCTAGTGCATAGCCTAAAGGCCTGCTTTGTGCAGTGCAACCTAGAGTCTGAGTGAGATGTTGTGGATAAATGCCAGAAGGTTTGATTAGATTTAACAATTATCTAACAATGTCAGAATAATTCAGGGAAACTGGGTTTTATCTTTTATTGACTGAAAAGAAGCTTGTGTTCTAAGGTGCTGGCCTCTGGAGTTTCACATCTTTGTGCAAGCAGCAAAGTGCAGCATGGATCAGGGCATGCAGGTGCATCAGCTACTATTTTGACAGCAGTTTTTCCAGCTAGTTAGGGATCAGGCCAAATTCCTCTCAGGCCTCATTTGCTCTTCATGAACAGTTGACCAGATGTAAAGGGTGGCTTTTAGAATGGTTTTTGTTGACCTGATGTCTCGTTAAATTTGCAGATTGTGATCAGTATTACTTGAGATGCCATCCTCATTCTCAAGGCGTAATGTGCTTTATAGATCTTGTGCACACAATATTAGGAGTCATTAATGTAGCATTGTAGTTTGATCCTTTTTGAAAAGCCTAATCTTCTTCACCTCTTTATAATTAGCTCTAAGTCAAACATGTAGCCAACCCTAGCTTTACTGTTTGTTAGTCTTCAGGGTACATGACATTCTCCCTCCCACTTCTCATATTAGACTGAACCTCCCACCAGGCAGCACCATTCATCACCATCTGACTGTTACTTCCATCTGTAAATATCAGCAGTGCACCACGAAGACACACTCTTCATTTCACTGCTGCTGAGTAAGCAGCTGTTGGTACAGAATCTGAATAATAAGCTGAGAAACAAGTTGCCCTGACCTGCGCAATTACTCAGACGCAGTACATAGTACATCCAGCTTTCAGTTCATCAGTGAGGAAGCTGCATACACACAAAGCCTCCATCTGAAAGCTTGTTTCTGCTATCACTTGTCAAGGCATCAATGCTGCAGTCCTTTAACTGTCACATTTCTAACAAAAGTGCCAGATGTCACGGCCATGGTATGTTGTGTATATACAGTCAGGGAAAAAATGATTTGAACCCCAGCTGATTTTGTAAGTTTGCCCACTAACAAAGAAATGATCAGTCTACAATTTCAATGGTAGCTTTATTTGAGACACAACAATAACAAAAAAAAATCCAGAAAAATGCATTACAGAAAAAGTTATACATTAATTTGCATTTTCATGAATGAAATAAGTATTTGATCCCCTATCAGTCAACAAGATCTCTGGCTCCCAGGTGTATTTTATACAGGTAACGAGCTGACATTGAGTGCCCTCTCAGCTTGTTACCTGTATAAAAGAGACCTGTCCACAGAAGCAATCCATCAATCCAAATTCCAAACTCTTCACCATGGCCAAGACCAAAGAGCTTTCCAAGGATGTCAGGGACAAGATTGTGGACCTACACAAGGCTGGAATGGGCTA